AAAAAAAAAAGAAAAGAAAACCTTTATAAAATGAGCGACAGAATTAAAGTGCTATAGCATTTAATGCTTAAGTGTTAATATTTAATATATGGGCATGTTTTGTAGATAAAGAGGAGAGTTACTTGAACATTTTTTAACAAGCAAGAGTCTAGTGACATGGCTTAAATTCAGTCCTAAAGTGTCTGTGGTGCCATAATTGTCACTAAGGTGGCCACCTCTGCAGAAGTCAGAAGTATTCAATGTAAGAGGAATCCACGCTTGGTTCCTTTACCACAGCTTCTGGTTTTGCTTCATTTATTTGAGCTATTTTCTATCAGAAACTGGTGTCATTAATGTTTAAGAAAGAAAGGGGGACCTCAGTAGAGTGCTATCTCTTGACCCGATTTCATTGTGAGCACATTATATACTTACCTGAGTATCAAATGGAAGAGAAAGTTGACCCATTGGAAGAAATTTCCGTAGATTAAAAGCAGCTTTACTCTCTCTCACCTCCCTCTGCCTTCCTTCTCTCTCTCTCTCCTGTCTTTCCCCTCGCTCTTCTCTACTCTCTCTCTCTCTTCTCTTCCCCACTCTCTCCTTATCTCTCTCCCCTCTCTTCTCTCCTCCTCGGTGCTGCTCTGCCTCCTCCCTCCCCCCACCAATAAAAACCTTTTGTACAAGCAAAAGAGAGAGAAAAAAAAAGCAGCTTTACAGTCCATAGGATTTAGATTCAAATTCCAGCTCTTTCTTTATCCACATAGCTCTTAGTGTGATTGGGTAAAGGCAGTTTCCTCAGTTTTCAGTCTGTAAACTGGAATAATATCTAGTTTAAGGTGGTTCTGGGTTTCAAATGGGATAGTGTATGTAAGGTGCTTTAAATAGTCTGGCTAATATTAATTTTTTGGTTTTTTGTTTTTGAGACATCTCAAGCTGTCACCCTGGGTAGAGTGCTGTGGTGTCACAGCTCACAGCAACCTCCAATTCTTGGGCTTAAGCCATCCTCTTGCCTCAGCCTCCCAAGCATGGACTACGGGCGCCCACCACAATACCTGGCTATTTATTTTATTTTATTTTATTTTTTTGGTTATAGTTGTCATTGTTTGGCCGGCCTGGTCTGGATTTGAACCCACCAGCTCCCGTGTATGTGGCTGGCACCCTAGCAGCTTGAGCTACGAGCGCCAAGTCAATTTTTTTTTTTAAATTGAGATAGAATCCCACTTTGTCACTCTCAGGTAGAATGCCATGGTGTCATAACTCACAGCAAACTCAAACTCTTGGGTTCAAGAGATTTCTTGCCTGACCCTCCCAAGTAGCTGGGACTATAGGCACCTGCCACAATGCCCGGCTATTTTTTGTTTGTTTGTTTAGCAGGCCATGGCTGGATTCTAACGTACCAGCTCCGGAACATGTGGCCAGCGTCCTAACCACTTAGCTATAGGCGCTCAGCTGCTAATATTAAATGTTTAAGAAAGATGTAGATATTCTTGATGATTGCAAATGCAATGGAATGAATTTTTATATTTTGACTACAGGGAAACTATCAATATTCAGTTTGCAAATTTTGTGTGTGGTTATCTCTTTTTTAAAAAAAAACATTATGGGTTATGTCTGCCAATTTATTTGCCTGCCTTGCTGAGTCACACTGTTAACTAATTGATGTCCTGTGTTTTTCATATTCTGTTCAGGCTGAGTTGTGTCAAATCAAAGCAGAAATAATCTTTCTGCCTCCACCCTCCCTACTCAACTTTAATTCCTTTTTCATGACTCTCCCAAGTCAGGATTCTCACCAAGGAAGCTACCTGCCTTCTTTAGGAATGTTGGGATTATGAAGACTTAGAGATAATGTGTTTATTTATTCAGTCTTGGGCATCTACAGTAAAATTGCTAACATCATCTCATCATTCCTAGTGGGAGGTTGGACGTAGGTTGTGAATTCTAATCATCTTTGATAATACCACCTGGATTAAATTGTGCCTTTTTTTTCTCTGCTTGGTGTTGATTCTCTTTTGGCCAGTAGTTATTGGGTCCATCAGCACTGCAGAAATGGCAGATTTTGGGATCTCAGCTGGTCATTTTGTGGCAGTGGTCTGGGATTTGTCATCCCCAGTGGAAGCCCTAAAAGATCTGGTGGATAAGCTGCAAGTGTTAACTGGCAGTGAGGGCCGAGTATCTGTGGAAAACATCGACCAGTTGTTGCAGTGTAAGTACCTTCCTGTGTTTCTTTGTGGGGCTGGAGGGGTTTGGGTGGGAGTGCTGCGTGGTTCCTTGATATTGGAGTTTTTGCTTTGGGTGGTACATGACAGTAGCTGGTCACCTGTTTTGCAGTTGAGATATAATGGAATTAGAAGTGTACTTGATGGCTCTGCGCCTGTGGCTCAAGCGGCTAAGGTGCCAGCCACATACACCTAAGGTGGCGGGTTCGAATCCCCAGCCCGGGCCCGCCAAACAGCAATGATGGCTGCAACCAAAAAATGGCCAGGCGTTGTGGCGGGTGCCTATGGTCCCAGCTACTTGGGAGGCTGAGACAGGAGACTCGCTTGAGCCCAGGAGTTGGAGGTTGCTGTGAGCGTGATGCCACAGCACTCTACCCAGGGGAATAGCTTGAGGCTCCGTCTCAAAAAAAAAAAAAAAAAAAAGTGTACTTGATGATTTCTGTAGGTATGTTTTTGTTTTGTAGTAGCTACTCCACATTTTTTTAAAGAGCTAACTCCTTAATTCAGCTTCTTGGATGAACACTCACCAATGTTCATTCTCCCAGGGCAAGGCCTGCGGCCTCTGTGGGGGCTTGAGAGGGATTGGGAGCTTGCTGGGCTCAGGTGATTGCTGATGAGAGTCTTCCTTCTTTTCAGCTGCCCATAAAGAATCTAGCTTTGACGTTATTTTGTCGGGTGTAGTCCCAGGAAGCAGCACTGTGCACAGTGCTGAGATACTGGCAGAGATGGCCCGCATCCTTCGACCTGGTGGATGTCTTTTTCTGAAAGAGCCAGTAGAGACAGCTGTAGGTAAGGAACTCTTCACTTGAAAGACAAGTTTGACGGGGTGAGTCTTTGGGTATGCTTGCTGCATATCCCTGAGTAGCAGACATCATTTGGAGATTGGTGTTCTTATAATAGAACCTTCTCTTTGGGGGATAAATCATTCCTTGTGGTGATGGAATGAGTGTGTCCTGATTATCGCACATGTGATTAAAACTGCATAGAACTCTACACTCCTTGCCAAACAAGTGCATGAAAAATTGGTAAAATCTGGACAAGCTCTGTGGACTATCAGTATCAATTTCTTGTCTTCATATTGTGCTATAATTGTGTATAATGTTACAGCATTAGGGAGACATCCACAGACCTCCCTGAACTTTTTTTTGTGTGTGGGGGGATCTTCCTGTGAATCTATAATTATTTCTAAATAAAAAGGTTAAAATTAATGGCTGGAAATGTGGGAGTGATAAGGTAATTACTGATTCATGTGAAACTAATGACAGTGTCCAAGAAATAAAAGCCTCTTTTTTGTTCAATGCCATAGCTGTCAGTGTGGTTTAGTTCTGGATTCTTTTATTTTCTTTTATTTTGAGACAAGAGTTTCACTTTGTTGCCCTGGGTAGAGTGCCATGGCATCACAGCTCACAGCAACCTCAAACTCTTGGGCTCAAGTGATTCTCTTGCCTCAGCTTCCCAAGTAGCTGGGACTACAGGCACCCACCACAATGCCCGGCTATTTTTAGAGACGAGGTCTCACTCTGCTTCAGGCTAGTCTTGAACTTGTGTGCTCAGGTGATCAATCCACCTGCTTGGGCCTCCCAGAGTGCTAGGATTCCAGGTATGAGCTACCACTCTCAGCCCAGTTCTAGATTTCCAGCATTTTTCACTAGACTTTCAATCAAAATGTAGCAATTTATTTCATCAAATAATAGAAATGAAAAGTATTTTGAAATGTGTAAAGGTGATTATTGTTTATATGAAAATATAACCGTGTGTTATATATAACAACCATCAGCATCTTGGCTAGGAATTCAAATTTTGAGTGTCTAAACACGGCATCTCTGTCAGAACTATTGAGAGAGAATACCTGTATTCCTGTGTACTATGTAGTTTGTAAGCCTCTTTCACAGTCATTATCCCACAGCCACTAGAAGGGTTTTCCAAGAAGTGAAATAAGAAACAGTAATAATGGAATTACAGGCCAGGCATGGTGGCTCATGCCTATAATCCTAGCACTCTGGGAAACCCAGATAGGTGGATTGCTCGAGCTCAGGAGTTTGAGACCCGCTTGAGCAAGAGTGAGACTCCTTCTCTACTAAAAATAGAAAAATTTGCTAGTGTGGTGGTACACACCTATAATTCCAGCTACTCAGAAGGCTGAGGCAAGAGGATCGCTTGAGCTCAGGAGTTTGAGGTTGCTGTGAGCTTATGACTCTAACCTGGGGCAACAGAGTGAGACTCTGTCTCAAAAAAGGAAAATAATAATAATGGAATTATAACATTTAAGAGCATAAGTAAGAGCACTTTGAACAGCCAAAAGAATTTGTCAAATTAAAATGCTGTCACTAATACAAAGAATAGGTGTATATATATACAGGTGTTCCTTGACTTCTAGTGGGCAACATCCTGTCAAACCCATTGCAAGTTGAAAATAGCATAAATTAGAAGTACACCTGACCTGCTGAAAATCGTAGCTTACCTTAGCCTAGCTTTAGCATGCCCAGAGCACTTACATTAGCCAATAGTTGGGCAAAATCATCTAACACAAGGCCTGTTTTATAATAAAGTGTTGAATAGCTCATGTACTTTATTGAATACTCTGCTGAAATATAGTCTCTACTGAATGCATATCACTTTAGAACCACCATAAGTCCGGAACCATCTGTACATTAAGCAGATCATTGTTTGAGTGCCTGCTGACCCACATAGGATTGGGTCTTACCTGCTTTGACCCATGAAAGTACTAATTGGGATTTTCCTCTTGGCAGTTAACAATAGCAAAGTGAAGACAGCATCCAAACTGTGTTCAGCCCTGACTCTTTCTGGTCTTGTGGAAGTGAAAGAGGTACGTTTGTAGACAGTATTCTCTGCTATGAATTTAAACGTTGGGTGACAAACCCTCAGTCTCCTTGTCAGAACAACTAGGGGAAAAAACAGCCCTGCAGGTGAGGTGGTCAGTACCGCTTGGACCAGAAAACAAGGAATGCCATGCATGTGAGATATATGATGTCTTAAGGGCAAAACCACTGGGAATAAGTCTCCTTTGAAGAGACTCAGCTGGAGCCCTTGTGGATTGGAGCTTGTTCCGGTCTCCTCAGTACTCGTCTCACTGTTAGTGACAGCTGAGGCAGGGGCAGCAGCAGCTCTGCTGCTTCCAACACCCGTCTCTTAAGGAACTCAAAGCCATAGGATGCAAAGGTGCTACGCTGTCACCTTATCAGCCTCACATTTTTGGAGGCGGGAGGATGTTGGAGGGAAAATTCCATTTTTGAGAATCCAGTGGAGGTGAAAGGTGAATTTTGTTGGGCGTGGGAAAGGGAATGTTATACCCTGATACTCTGCACCATGGACCTATTACATGGTTCCTTATGCTGGCCCTTCCTTATTTTTCCTTTTTAGCCAAGGTTTTCTGTGTTTATTAAAATAAGGAATGATAATAAAAATTCAGTTTACCGGCTTGGCGCCTGTGGCTCAAGCAGCTAAGGCGCCAGCCACATACACCTAAGGTGGCGGGTTCGAATCCCCAGCCCGGGCCCGCCAAACAACAATGACGGC